ACTTCAAAAATTATTCCCTCCTCCCCCAAGCTAAGGCCAACCCTGACAAGTGTTTGCCTAGCCTGCTCTTAAATATCTCCAACAATGGAAATTCCACCACTTCCCTACAGCGAGGGAGCACCCAGTCTCCTGGCCCTGCCCCTTTGTGTGAGGTCCCACCCAAAGCCTGTAACTATTTCCAAAATTAGTGAAGTGGCCCCACTTCAAAAATTATTCCCTCCTCCCCCAAGCTAAGGCCAACCCTGACAAGTGTTTGCCTAGCCTGCTCTTAAATATCTCCAACAATGGAAATTCCACCACTTCCCTACATAGGCCCCCTGACAGTTAAGTTTTGCCCTAATGTCCAACCTAACCTCCCTTGCTGCAGTTTAAGCCCCTTGCTTCTTGTCCTGTCCTCAGAGGCAAAGGAGAACAATTTTTTTCACTCTTCCTTGTAACGTTTTAGATACTTGAAAACTGGTATGTTCCCCCTCAGTCTTCTCTTTTCCAGGCTAAAACTCAGTTCTTTCAATCTTCCCTCAAAAGTCACTTTTTCTAGACATTTTTGTTGCTCTTCTCTGGACCTTCTCCAAATCTTTCTGGAAACGTGAAGCCTAGAACTGGCCATGGGTTCTCCAGACGAGGCCTAATCAGTGCAGAGTAGAACAGAAGTATTACTTCTCTTGTCATTCTGGAATGTATTAGCAGTAGTATTGTAAGCAAGACATTTACTTTTTTTGCAACAGTATCACACCGTTGACTGGTATTTAGCTTGTGGCCCACTATAACCTCTACATCCCTTTCTACCGTACTCCTTCCTAGGCTGTCATTTCCAATTTTGTAGGTGTGCAACTGATTGATCCTTCCTAAGTGGAGTACTTTGCCTTTGCCCTTCTTGAATTTCGTCTTTGTTGAATTTCATCTTACCTCAGATTTATTTCTCCAGATCATTTTGCATTATAATCCTGTCCTCAGAAATACTTACTTGTCTGGGAGGGATTGTATCATCCATAAACTTAATAAGCATCCTTTCTATGCCATTAGCTATATCATTGATGAAGATATGGAATACAACCAGAGCCAGAACTCATCCCTGTTGAACCCCAAACATTATGCCCTTCCAGCTTTCGATAACTACTCCTGGGGAATAGCTATGCAAAGTTATACACAAACCATGTAGTAATTCCATCTGATTTTATTTCTCTAGTTCATTAATGAGGCGGCCATGTGAGACTATATCGAAAGCACTCTCCCTCTATTTTTATAATTATATTACATCTACTTCTTCCCACATCCACGAGGCTTGTTACCTTTTCAAGGAAAGCTATCAGGTTGGTTTGACACGATTTGTTCTTGATAAATCCATGCTGACAATTACTTATCACTGTATTATCATCTAAATTTTTGCAAATTGCATAAGTATTTGCGCTCATCTTTCCAGTCATAGAAATTAAGTTGATTGATCCAATTCCCTGAATTGTCCTTATTTCCCTTATTCTAGCTAGACACTATTTTGCCCTTTTCCAGTCTTCTGGAATCTCTCTCAACTTCGATGACTTTTCTAAGATAATAGCTAATGGCTCAGCTATCTCCTCAGTCTGCTCCTTGAGTATCAGACCCTGGTGATGTGAAGACATCTCACTTGTCTAAGCAATTTTAACTTACTTGTTGCTTATTTCAGCTTCTGATCCTACCCCATTTCCATTAGCATTCTGTATGTTACATATCAAATCACCACAAACCTTCTTGGTGAAAACCAAAACAAAGAAGTCATTAAGCATATCTGTCAATTCCACATTTCTTTTATTGTTTTTCTCTCTCCATTGAGAAACAGGCCTATCCTGTCCTAATCAAGAGTGCCATCTGTACACTTGAAAATGTTCTCCCTCCTTTGCCCCATCACCACGCACTTGAAAATGCTGTGATGGTAACTGGCCCTGGAGGAGGACAGAAGCTCTCCCTCTTTACACCCATCAGGGTAGCCACAAACCATCCCGTTCTCAAGGAGTGGAAGAGCCAACAAAGGCTAAGCACCAATGTGTAAGACAGCGGGGTCACGGCTCCATCCTTTTTTGAAACTGATGCATAAGTGCAAGAAAGTACATCTCAGAAGATAGTTACCAGAGCTACTTCTCTATGCCACCCAAAGCATGTTAGCCTGCCCGAGTACTCTACAAGTAAAATGCAGGAGAAAATTGGTACAGTACTTATTCACATTCCTACTTCTTTTCTGTGTCTATGCTCAGTATAGGCACAAAAGAACTTTTACATTATAAGTCAAATAGCAAAAACCTTAAGTTCCAGTGCCAAAACTAAAAATGAAATTAACACAACTGAAACCATGTTTACACCCATTACAGAAAATCAAGTTTGGTCTCCACATAGAAACTTCATTGATTTAATTTTACTTTTATACGTTTTTGGTGGACACTTGTTTCAGTTTAGCTTAAATCTGGTTCTAAATCTAAATTAAACCAAAATACGCTACATTTAAGCCAAAATGAGTGACTGCACAGAAGGGATGTAAACAACTAGTTTCCACTGGGGAGAGGGGAGGCAGGGGGGTAGCGTGGACTGAGTGCGAGCGGGGTATCAGCTGATTCTGAGCTTGCACCCAGTCCCAGATGCTGCACCTCTGCTTTTTAAATGCATTAAGAGCCTTCCGGCTCTTGATGCATTTAAAAGGCTGGTGTGAAACAGAAGGGAGGAGGAGAACCAGCAGGCTTTTAATACATTTAAAAGGCAGAACCGAAGGAGGGTTAGCTCCCAGAAACGGGAGATAATCCCGCTCCAGCTCCCCCGCTTACCGACTAATCGATGGAAATTCCTTCAATGTGTCGATTAGTTGATTACCGTGAATTAGCGTATATAACCCGAACATGAGTATAACCCGCGGCTTTTCCTGATTGTGTAGAAAAAGTCTTAGATAGAATCCGCGGGTTATCTGCTAATTCACAGTGACTGGACATACCAGCTGCCAGCGTGGGGGGGTGGGGGGAGGAGGGAACAGAGAGCACGGGAGGGGAGCTGCACTCGCCCCCAGGCCCTGAACAGCCGCAACTCACCCTCCTCCGGGCAGGGGAATAGAGATCATAGCACAGGCGCACTGGCCGGCCTGCGGGAGAAGAGCCGCATTCGCCCCCAAGCCCCGTGCAGCCGCAGCGAGGCAGAACCCCATGAGTAAAAATAAACGTGTATACCCCACGGGGGAGCGGGGTTTGTTAAAACATGTATAACCCGCGGGCTATATATGCTAATTTATGGTAAGCTAAATTTAACATCCCTACTGCACAAGATTTGCACTGGCTTAAAATGTAATTCAATTGGTGTTACTGTCTCTCAGATGCTCTGTAAAATTGCAGATCTGAAAATAGCTCCAGGTTAAAAGTTCTCTCTAAAGGTACATAAATAAGAAAGCATTCTTCAGATACTTATCGCTCTTCACATAGACCCTAACAAAAATTCTTATCATTAACATGGAAACCAAATTACCCCTTTCATAACATGGTGGATCAACAGTTTAAAAAAAAAAAAAACTTAGAAAAAACTTGTTAAATCTAGCAACTATGAACATCCAAATGAATAGCTGAAAATTTCTAGGAAGAGCCCCCATTTTTAACATAAGTAACTTTAAATTCAGTTAGGAAATGGCTTATTTATTCATTTTACAAGAACTATTATGCTCTTTATATTTTTCTTCACGAGATTAAACATCTGTATAAAAACCATTCTACTGCTTTTGTTTTGGTTTTTTACTAAAACCATGGAAGGAGAAGTCCAACAAGATTCCACTTATAAATGATTACTTTCATGATGCAGACATCTGTCTAATAGAACCTGAGACTAGACAGGCCACTGAACAACCATCAGTTGGCAGCCTCTTAATGTTCATTACCATCTCAGTCAGGTCTTTAAAACATGCAGTTTGCAACAGTTTGAGGTTCTCTCACTAGACAACTCTTTTTAAAGAAGAAAAATCTATTTAATTTACAAAGCAGCTAAGAATCAAAAGTTCCATTTTCACAGGAAGGAAGACAGGCATTTGATTCAGTACTCATGGTACAAGAATAACTTAAGAACAGGCAGTCCCCGGGTTACATACAAGATAGGGACTGTAGGTTTGTTATTAAGTTGAATCTGTATGTAAGTCGGAACTGGCGTCCAGATTCAGCCACTGCTGAAACTGACCGCCA